GCGTCTGGCCTGTTGCACTCTTAGCGAGCTGCTCATGTATTCAATGTCAACATCTCGGGGTGCGGTTGAAGACCCAGTTGCCGGCAGACGTCGCGCTTAATGGGATCCCTGCAGCCTCCCCCGCCACCCATTGTTGTTGATGGTTAAGACCCAGGTCATTTGCTGTGTGAGCCGGGGGGCGGAGTGAAGCGCCAAGGTGCGGACTCAACCATGCCATTCACCTGCGCTCCCTCCCGCCTCCGGTCTTCTTGACTATTTCTTGACTTGGGGCCCACGCGGGGGAGGAGGAGAGTGTGCGGTAGATGCTGTGAAGATCTACTACCACTATAAACTAATTCACTCACAAGTCACCGTCCCTGCTTGCCTTGTCGTGGAGCACACGTTGGATGTCGTTGGATGCGACGGTCAAAAGGTCGTTGTTTTTGTTGTTGTTGTTGTCGTTGTTGTTGTTGTTGTTGTTGTTGTTGATAATGTCATTGGTTCAAGTCCTGGCCACTTGCTCTGAGGACTATGGAGTGTTGTGGAACGCCTAGGTGCGGATCCGGCCCCGCCGGCCACCTGCGCCCTCTCCCGCCTCCGGTCTTCTTGACTATGTCTTGGATACTGGATCCAGGTTGGGAATAAGAGGACAGAGTGCGGTAGGTGCTGTGCAGATCCACTACCAATAAAAACTAATTCACCCACAAGTCACCGTGCCTGCTCTAACCTTGCCGTGGAGCATACGGTGAACATCGTTGACAAAGACGGTCGAACTGTTAGATGGGGGCTCAAACCGCGTCGGCTACCGCACCCCTTGCGAGGATTTCGGCCTCTTGAAACTTGAAAATATGACCGGGTCCCGTCGAGTGAACCACCGCCTGAGAGCTAGCGTCTCCCCACCCCACTGCTGCTACCTCGTGCTAAGCAATTTGCATCCAGACTAATCTCCCAGTTTCTTTGACATGGTTGGTTTGTCTGCAACTGCACCAGATCCAGTAAACGACTCCTGACGTTTCCTGTCGTGGCAGTGGGTCCTTAGGCCTCATGACTTGGCGCCTGATGGTTGCTTCCGGCCTGTGTGCAACCCCAAATCCAAGTGGAGTGCGAAGATGACTGACGGCTTCCGAGACGTTCTTCATGTACGGAAGAGCTCGCCAAATTTGGGGTCGGTTGATTTGGTCTCTGGTGTCGTTTTCGTATACACTGGTTGACAAAGTTGTGCGGGTAGCCATTGGTTCTCAGTACCCGACGAAGATATTGTAATTCAGCAACTTTGTCTTCTATTTCACTGCAGTGCGTCCAAACACGTCTGTATAGCGCCCTTACGCAACTGCGTTTTTGACTGATCAAACCATATTTTCAGGTTTCAAGAGGCCAAAATCCTCGCAATGGATGATAACATCGTGAGCAGCCAGCTGCTCCGGTCATGGTTCTCAGGCCTGCAATCCATCAACAAGTGCAATGACTTCCCGTTACCAAATTCCGTGCTGACGTTTTCCTTGGGCAGGGAAATCAGTCACGCGGGGAGGGCGCGGATGAGCCAATTTGCCGAGCCATCCATCGTCACACCAGCTTCCAACACGGATAACGAAATCACGGCAATTAACGACTCGGACTCGGACTGACTAGCCGCAATCCCATCAATTACGACCCCAGTGGTGACTGAGATAGCTGTTTATTACAGTGCGCATATGGTCCGACGGCAGCTACGTGCTATAAATACTGCACTCCTTGTACCCCTCGTACCCTTATCTGCGAGTGTATCTGGTGATTGGTTCGAGTGAGAATCCAAAACGTCAGGCCAATAATTTTTTTGTTCCAGTGATCGCATCTTCGCCCTCGGAACTGCTATCCGCAACTGGCCTGTTCGCTTCTATAAACGAAGACCGTCAAAACAGTTTCTGCTCTTCCGCGAGTAATCCGCTTAGCTGTTGTCTTGTTAATTATTTCGGAAATTAACTCCTTACTGTAGGTTTAGCCCGAAATTTCTTAATTGGTGTCTACCAGAAAGCACATAGGAAGTGCTGGGTTACTCGCTGATGAGCCGAACCCCTAGCAGCTGTGTCACGAAGGGGCAGAATGTCGGCGAAGCACGTGTCTGGGTACCTGAAATGCTAGTATGGTATTCTGTAGCATTAAAATCCGCGTAAGAAATAGCTCTGTCCCCTCTTGGGCAACTGTTTGCTGCTGCGTGTCCCATGTACTTTCATGTGTGCTGACATTTTGAGAATACAGTTCATTGCACTTAGAAATATAAAAATTTAAATAGTAGCCCGATCGGCAGACTCCCATATTTTAACCTGTCGGCTAGCATATGGGCAAACTTAAATAGTCGGATTTTGGCGAGTAAATGGCAACTGTGCCAGTGGACACCACCTTTGTCTGGACATCCGCAAAGTCTTTTAATTTAATTGTTTTTCTAATATTAAGTACACAGTAATTGAGACAAAAGCCCAGATGCAACGGTATGGAAAAGGACCCCACTTTACTGTCGGCAGAGCGTGGATCGTATCATGCGTGATTGGTGATGAGCGAAGTCATACGGGTGGGGCAGCATACTAGACAGTAAGCGGACGAAATGCAGGAAAGCACAGAAAATGTTTGGATTTATCCTGAAATATTCATCGTACGCTTTCGTGTGACAACGGACTGAGCGCGGTAATAAAAAAACTAATTTCAAAAACAAATTTCAAAAAATAAAGGAGTTTGAGTGATGGTCCGAAGTCATGGCAAGTCATTGTTATTGGCATTGTAATGTCTGCGAATGGATACCGAGATAAAAGCCCATATGACGTGATCCACGGTCTGCCAAAGGACCTTCAGGAAAGGTAACCTTCCAAATGAGTCGGCATGAATTTGGTGACCAAATGGCTGCCGACTAGTCTCGCTAGTGTCGGGAGGACTATAAGAGGTAAGACAAATCAACACTCCCAGAAAACGACTGCAAACAGCACCGTGAATCTGAGGTAAGGAGGAAGTTTCTGCTGCTGTCATGTTGTCGGCATTCTTATTCAAAGAATGATTCAAACATTGTGGAATCCAAGCTGGACGCGTCCACTGACTCAATACTACATTCCAGTTTCTTCCTCATGAATTCTGACTCTTTTCCGGGCGTTCGCTGGAATCGAGGGGCTGCAACTTCATCCAGTGGGCCGGATGGTAAGCATGCGGGCTGGTCTCACAACACCGTGACAACCGATAATTCTGCGCCTAGACCCCTGCACGCATTCGAGTTGGCTAGCTTGAAAGGACGAGATGAGTACTGTACGATGGAGCCTAAGAAATCTGGCTGCAGGAGCAGCGCAGAGTCGTGCAGTGCACGACTTAACACGGTAAAATGCGCACACTACCTCTCTCTCTCTCTCTCTGATGCCAGCACGCTGACAGGCGTCAAGCAAGTCTATCTCAACAACGTGTCTAGAAAATTCTGTCGGAATAGTATCGTAACCGCCGTGAACGATGGAGTCCAAGTTTAAACTAGGTCCCAAGAACCGATTTCATCTTTGCGTCTTCGAGGTCTTGGTTTCAACGTTGCAAGAGTTTCTGCCTACGTCCCGGGGCCGGATGCCGTTGATACTTTGACTTTTTAGAACGAATTGGAACCGATTTTAGGCGCCCTCTTGCTGTTTTTGCCGTTATGTAGGGTTGAGAATTCAGGTGGGCGAGGCTAGGGGATTCCCTGGGCGAGAATTTCGTCAATGCTTACGGGGAAGTCTTCGTTCAAATGGTTAAATGTCTCAGAAGAAACAGTTGCGAGCGAACGTTGCTTTCGATTACTTCTCGTCAGGCTACTAAATTTATAAGGGAAAGGGTTGCAGTTATTTTAAAAAAAATCGATAAAAGTTTGTTTTAAAAACACAGGAAAGAGCGGAAGGACGCAGGAAGTTGTATGTAGTTAGTTTTCCTTTGAACACGATAAGCGCGGAGCCTGAACGAGGTTCTTCTGGGCGCATAGTATCGGTTTTCGTAGCCTGATGACGGCCGCTTCTGCTGTTGCTAACAAGCGCTGGCCCAGTAGCTTAGGGTAGCTTGAGGGGACCTTTTAACTTACACGAAATGCTTCAGCGGGGTCCACACGATGTCCTGAATCCACTGCATGCGCATGGATGGTGCTGTCTATTCCCCTAGTTTCACATTTTTCCAGCCATGCGGAAAGGTGCACTCGTATTCTTTTGGAAAGACGCCAATTCGTACGACCAATATAACCTGCTCTGGAGGAGCAAATGAATGAGTAGATGCACATTGAGGCGGTCTGAAGTGGCAGCCTATCTTCGCCTTCTTTGCGTAAAATAGTGTTAGTGGAGAATGCTGTGCTAACTCTTGCCGCTAGGAAGGTTCCCGAGACAGCTTGGTTAAGGCGTATTCTTAGGAGTTCACTTGCAGCGTCTCCATGGAAAGGAACTTTGAGGAACAACTTTTTCTTTTCGGCGGTCAGTGCGTTGGGTTTTGTGGATCGTTCAGCAAGGTTCTTTGCAATGAACCTGTCAGGATACCCGTTTTCGCTAAGCAAGTGCTGGATTTTTCTAAGTTCCTGCTCGATACTATCTGTTGAACAAATTTTTCTAGCACTTTCTGACAAATACCTGATTAGATTTCGCTTTATTGGAGGGGTACAAGATTGGCGAAGTTCATGTATTGCCCAGATCATGTTAAATGTTTGTCAACTTCGCTGCGCTTAATCGGTGCCTTCCGAAGTCCCAAGAGTCATCTGGTCACTCCAATCATAACTGACGGTTGTACATACCTTGAGGTTGAGTATGCTTGGCTGATGACGGCTAACGAGACAGAAGTAGCCATTCCAGTTCCCCTTGCCTTTGTCGGTAATGCTGCTCCATGATGGAAACGATGAAAGGTCCGTTCAAATAGAATTCGGCTGTCCGGAGCGATCCATTCAGATGGTGCGTCAGCTGCACGACGGTATGATGGCGTGAGTCGCGGACAACGGAGCGGTCTCGGAGGCATTCGCAGTGGCCAACGAAGTGAAGCAGGGATGCGTGCTGGCGCCTACCCTCTTCAGTCTTATGTTCTCTGCCATGCCGATGGACGCCAACCGTGATGAACGCCCCGGGATCCGCATCGCCTACAGGACGGACGGTCACCTTCCGAATCAACGGCGGATGCACTTCCAATCACGCGTCTCCACAACTACCGTTCACGAACTTCTCTTCGCCGACGACTGCGCCCTGAACACCACCTCGGCAGAGGAGATGCAACGCAGCATGGACCTCTTCTCTGCCGCCTGCGAGAACTTCGGTCTGGTCATTACCACGCAGAAGACGGTGGTGATGCATCAACCGCCACCCAACTCAGCCACAGCCCCCAACGCGCCGCCGCAAATCAGCGTGAACGGAACCCAACTGCAAGTGGTGGAGAACTTCCCGTATCTGGGCAGCGCCCTCGCCCCTAACGCCAAAATCGATGACGAAGTCGCTCGCAGGATCTCGAAAGCCAGTAAAGCCTTCGGCCGCCTCTAAAGCACAGTCTGGAATCGTTACTGTCTCCAACTGAGCACGAACCTGAAGATGTACAAGGCCGTCATCCTGCGGACGCTGCTGTACGGAGCGGAGACTTGGACGGTATACACAAACCAGGCACGTCGACTGAACTACTTTCACCTTGGCTGTCTCCGTCACTGAACTGGCAGGATCGAATCCCCGCCACTGATGTGCTGGAACGGACGGGAATCCTCAGCATCTATACCATCCTGAGACAAATGCAGCTGCGTTGGAGCGGCCACCTGGTGCGCATGGACGACGAGCGACTACCCAAACGACTCTTCTACGGAGACGTCGCGACGGGTTCTCGTCGTCAAGGAGGCCAAATTCGCCGTTACAAGGATACTCCGAAGTCCTCCCTGAAGCGCCTGCAAATCAACCCGACCAACTGGGAAGAGCTCGTCCTCGACCGGCCGACCGACCTGGAGGAGGAAAGTGAAGACAGGCGCTGCGATCTATGAGGCCAACCGAATCCCCGCTGCCAAGGTGAAACGCGACGCACGCAAATCATAGCCACGCCCCATCCGCAACGCCGACGCACAACCGCTTCCAACGTGTCCTCGGTTTCAACGGACATTCCGGGCACGAACTGGACTCATTGGACACCTTCGGACCAACTGCACCTCCCATACCGCACCAACCGCCGTCCCTCCGCCCGCCTCTTCCTCGTCCTATCCGCCACCAACTAACTCTAACAATTCTTCTGAACCACCACTTCCGTCCTCCGCCTCCT